AGAATTCTCACTGAATGAAGCAGCGTGTTAGTTCAGCGTGCTGCTGCTACGTTCCTGGAATCATCACCAACTCGCTTACGTTTATCACACTTTGACATTTACAAATCATGCGGTATAACTTCTTCGCTGTTCTTAACTAAATGACAACGATTCTGTTGGCTCATTTTCCCCGCAAATATGATCGGCTGGACAGTTCATAATATTTAAACGCACATTGTTACTTTTCCATGAAACCTTTTAGTTTCAACTGCGCATGAGTACCGTATGTCATAGGTCAATGTATAGATAAACAAATCATACGGACGTTGTATCGTCTGGAGTTTTTTTTTTAATTACAAAGTTTAAAGATCTGTTGAAGTATTCGGTTACTATACCGTAACGATCAAGAGTGATAATGCTTTACAAATACAAACGATAGTAATGCCCTTTGAGTGCGTGCTTATATTTCCGACCTTCGACATATTCATACCCAATTATATCTAAAATTAACACCGATATCAAGGAATTCTGTATAAACGATGCTCTACTGTTTGTGCATGCCTAAACTGATATGTAATTTTCTACGAATCTGTACACTATTTGAATCTACATGCTGATGTATTATAACTCAAATACACACTTATCCCTAGATGACATTTTATGGCCATTAAAAAAGTTAGATTTTTTACGCTTTATAGATTTATGGAAAGAGATAGGAAAATGTATCTTTAAAATGCACGCTGGTTGATGACGTAGATAGCACGCTGCCTCGTCACATTTGAATAAATTTGTTCACAGTTGACGTCATCTTGTAAAGGCAGTTGGATATCCACTGTGTGAAGTAATTTAACGCTGTGCCAGTAACCTTAGCTATAGCTTTAGTCGCATCCCTCTCAGTTCTATCCTTTTTCAGTATAAAGGTATATTTTTATGGCATTGTTTCCCATGTTTTGTCTGTAAACAGCAGTTATTTTGGTCCACTCTATTTTAAGTCTAGATTACAGGTCTATTTAAAACCTCCTATACAGGTATGATTTAAAATAAGCTATCTTGTATTCTGCTGTGGCGGTAATAATCATATTCGTCCTACCAAAACTGGTTGTATCGTTTTGTATACATGTATTTTAGGTAAAACGAATATAATATATTATTAATTGGGTAATTAGTGTATTTGGACATGCAGTATTACTGGGTTAAGTACCATGGTTGTAACTGTGATATTAATTTTAAGCCAGGGGCCCCAACTAAAGCTGCATTCACATCGAATCTGAATCGAAATTAGGACCGCGTTTCCGAAGTGCTGAACCGCCATCGTTCCTATCCTTACACACTGACTTGATTTGATTTTGCAGTGTGAATGCACCTTTATCTAGGGTACAGTTAAACGCTCTCGAAGTGGAGGTTTCGTCGGTCAACGCTCGATAGCCGACCTCTTCTATTTATTATCCTCGTTTTGGATGGATGTATGGATGGATTGAATGATTGAGAAAACAGCTTAGTTCAGTCGACTAAACTGGTGGTAGCCACTGTGTGTGTGCTGAACCATGGAGGTCTCGTGGTCCACGGTTCAATTCCCCTCGCTGCTCTCGTTGTGTTTCAGCTGGAGTACTGAAAAAAAAGCTTCAATAGCGCACCTTTCGGATTAGACGTTTTAGCCGTTGGTCCCGTGTGCGATATAGCCCATGTGCACGTTAAAGGACCAGAATACTATTCGAGTAGGGGAATGTCTCCCAGTGTACTGCCCAAACACCACCAGAATGACCCCCACAATGGAAATTATCATCGTTATATTTGGATACGGTAATACATGCCAACGCTCACCTACTCATCTGAAGACCGCAGTCTTCTGGGATTTCTTTCAAATGTAATTTCCCCCTCTCTGTCAAATAAGCACATCACAAATTCCAATTAATCATGAATTGTCGTTACTTGGTATTCGAACGCGACGTTTAATTTAGAGATCAAAGAGAGTGACCGCTTGTTGAATGCTCGTGGTCATGAATGTGGTGCGTTTTTATGTAAAATCAAATACATAATACAAAGTTTGGGATTTGAACCAGGATGAATCGAAAGTTGCGCTACTTATTTATGGACAAGCATAGAGGATAGGCCTAGATATATTTCATAAGCATATTGTGTTTCAGTTCCTCTCAATCAATCAATCAAAAATCACGTTGTCTCTCGTAGGTGGCGATATCGCGGAAAAGTACCATCACGATCAAATTGTGGACATCTGTTTGGTTTACCCCGCTAATGAACGAATGATCATGGAGCTTTTCCATCTAACCATAATCCCGTATGAGTACTAAGCCTACAATACCGTACACCTGTCTCTTATACACATCTTAATATAGTATAGGCCCAATACATATAAAGTCCTATATACAATTCCATTATTCGCGTGGTTTACAATGGTATTACCTAAACCAATTATTATACACAGAGCCATGGATGAAATAGTGTCTGATCTTCCCACGAAGGCCGCAGGATCGAACACGCGTAGTCTCTCCGCCGCGCACTGACGTAATATGAAACTTCAAACTTGGCGAAAGCCGTCACACGTCCTGATCAATTTTATACGGAGAATCGAATTTTCCGTGGGCTGGGAATCCATTCCAGCAATTATTGGCTCCTGCAATAGTGTTACATAAGCTTAATTGCTCAACACAAACCCGAGTATTATGAAGTCGTCCACAAGCGTGGTCGTAATAATAGTGAAATAATTTGATGGTTTGAATGAACAGCCTGAGACAATCATAATTAAAAAGCCTTACATCCAACTCTCAATCAGTAACTCTACCTGCAATTAAGGCTGAGGGTGATTAATTGATTAACTACGTCATTGTCATTAAATCACGAAGGATGAATTAATATAGGCGCAAATAATGTATCGATGGATATTGCATTGCCCCACTAAAAGCAACCCCTTTCAATAAGATCTCCCATACCAAAATCTACATCTGCGATTTTACAGAACCAAGTAGTACTCCGTATAGATACATCAAAAGGGCAGCGCCAGGTAGGCCTACCCACTCAACCAATTTAAGGTTAAGCACATCTTTTGATGACAGTTTTTCTAACTTTTGCTTTTCCTCGGCACCCCTGTCCAACTTTTCTGTTTTTGTCGAAAGATTGAAAATAAATAAAAAATAAAATAAATAAGTTACGTTGAGAGTACTAAGCCTACAATACCGTACACAGAATAACTCATAATACATTCGGGTTTGTGATTATTTTCAAGGCTCTGATTGATGCCTGGTATTGTTTTTTTGTGATTGAATATTATTATACACAATCGGCTTAAAATTGCGGGGGCGGCGAATCTAACTGGATTCCTCTCGTACTTTTTCTTTGTGTTATATCAAGTGGTGTGACACAAGAATTTCCTGTTCGCTCTCTGACCGGAGTGTCGTATTTAAATACAGTAAACAATGAACTGCTGATAATACACATATTTGGACAAGCTTTGCACCAATATTATATTATTATTTATACCAGGTTCGAGTCCTATCTTATAAATTCACATCTAACGGACAGTGAATGCTACGCGCTTTATGTAATGTCACGTGACATAATTTAGCCTCGCTTTATTGAACAGAAACTTTATAAACATAATTGTGTATTAGTATTGTTATGCTTTTTTGGTTATCACACTATAGGTAAATTTGTATACCCATTTCATTTTATCTATTCGATTTATTGATCTGTTATTATTGTTGTTGTAAATGCCACTTGTAACAACAAATCACAGTATAAGACAAGGTTAATAATGATACTGTACACAGGCGGATTTATCCTCGTCAATAGGTTCGACCTTATCAAAACAAAGCTGTTTTGTGTGTTTTTTTGCACTGTCAGCGTGTTAAAAATATACTTACACCCCCCAAAAATCGAGAAAATAATAAAATTCCTAAATCTCAAAAATAGCACATAATATATATTCACTTTTTATATTATTCACTTTTTATCAAGAGGTGATCCCAAAGTTTACTATATTTTGACAATTTTAATTAACAACAAAATATAGGCCTATATATATTTTACGTTCAGTTACGGCAAGCGTGTTATGTACAAGGAAATGTAACGCCGAATTTCCAGATAGTGTTTTGAAGAGAATCAGAGGGTCAATGGTCATGACCTTTACAATGGCATCCTCTCGCGCGACTATTCATAGTGTATAATGTAAACACGGTTGCGAGAGGCGAGATATCTCTTGTCGAAGATAAGAAATGTTCACACGGTATTTTGTTCCACGACACCTGGTTGGAGCGCTTAATATTGATGACGTCATAACTTATCTTAATAATAATGATATAGCAACATTTACAGAGTGACAAAACACGATAAATAACAAAAACATTTATGGTTTTTTTTAAATTTTTATATCGTCTGTGATAAAATCTGAAAACCTAAAACAAAATAATAATGTTGATTGATCATTATGAATTCAACACCGATTTTGCAGACGTACACACAGTAGGTGAGCCGCCGCTGGGCCCGGGCCAAACCACGGGCGAATGACAGTAAAATCTGTCGGGTAAACAATTATAGAATGTTTTCGGAGCCCGAGACAATTGGTCTGAGCGTGCCTGCGTATATATGACACTACCCTTTCCCTAACCATTGTAGGGGTGGGGCTGAACTATGTTGGGGGAAATGCTGATACGCCACTTGCGATGATACAGCTTGAACGAGTAGTAAATCAATGGATATCGCATTCGATTTCAATAGCGTTTAAGCGTCAAGCCTATTATATATAAGTATTCCATCATTTGTTTTACATTTGACATTTCAATGATTACATTATACATTGTAATGTAAACTATCATAGCGAGGTTCAATGATCCTATCCTATGCTTGATTGCTATGTATGTCATAATTTCAATTTCAAGACGTCATAATTAACCCAACGTGACTTTTCAAGCTACGTTGTCTGATTGTTTCTGTCCACGCAAATTTTCATGATAACGTTTCTTAATTGCACATTTTTTAAATCGAAGTGTTCTTAATATCCCATTTAGGTGAATGACTTTCTGAACGGCAAGCAACCTCTGACTTTGGCGCTACGATGGGGCAACCACATGGTGTTTGTACAGCTTCAACTAGCTGCTAGCCCGAATGGCGGAAAAGGCCAAATCAAGTGCCCACTGCACCACTCATCTGCCAGCAGACGGCCTCATCACTTCAGGAGAAATAGTTCTGATCAAGCACCGGCGGCCGTTAATACAGTAAGTAAACTCTCTAACAGTTTCTGCATCGAAATTTCATTTGATAAAAATCGGTTTAAATGAATGCATGTTTCAGAGACAAGATGAAAAATATTCTGTCATGTTGACTAAACTTATGTATGCATTAACTCCTAACAATGTTAAGATGCTATTAGACTGACTCTTAATATACGAGCCAAACTACTTTGCCTGTTCTTGGTCCTTGTTTCATCCTTCTCCCTGTTTCACCCTTCTCCAACTCTCGCGCGCAGCAACCGCTCTTCTAATAGCTACATGAAAATCATCAATTTAGGCTAACGGACAACTCACACCCTTAGGCCTATACTGACTTAAGAGTGAACCTTCTAATAATTACAACATACATCATTCTAACTTTCAATGTCAGACCTCCGCGTTATTGCTGTGCATTCATCGACGCAAGTACATCAGCCATATTACTACTCTGTAGTCCGATTAGGCCAAAAAATCTTTGTGTTGCGAAAGTCATCCTACCCGTTCTAGAAAATCTAGGGTCGGCTTTTTTTACTCTTTCGTGCAAAAATATCTGCTTTACCAAGCAGCCAAATATATCTGCAGACGGGTTCAAAATTCCGCGGAGAATGTAGTAGACCAACATCTAAGCTTTTTCCTTGTTACACCATTCCCAGTTGGTAGTTCTGTCTTTTCGTGACGTCGTTCTATTCCTTGGGTTGATCACGCGCACGACAATTTTGGTTGTGAATTTGTGCATCGTCGCGCAAATATTAATTTATGTACCCACAGGGCATATGTGGACGGTATCAAATGAGTAATATATAGACTCCATCTATAACTGACCACATCATACGGAATGCTCTTCTGTTAATTGTTTATTCACCAGGTGGGCCATTAGTGCTTCGTTGGGAATTAAAATCACATTACAGAAAAAGGCGAGACAGCAGAAGGTGCTCTGGTTCGAATTTTGGTTGGGGAACTTTTTTCATATTTTTCTTTTTTCGTATATATACATATACACACACATATATATATATATGGTTTGAA